TTTCTTGAGATGGAGTTTCGCTCTTGTTGCCCAGGCTGGAGTGCACTGACACGATCTCAGCTCACCACAACCTCCACTTCCTGCGTTCAAGTGATTCTCCTGCCTCAGCCTCCTGGGTAGCTGGGATTACAGGCATGCACCGCCACGCCAGGCTAAGTTTGTATTTTTAGTAAAGATGGGGTTTTGCCATGTTGGCCAGGCTGGTCTTGAACTCCCAACCTTAGATGATCCTCCTGCCTCAGCCTCCCCAAGTGTTGGGATTACAGGCATGAGCCAATGTGCCCAGCCGCCATTGTTTTTAGTAAGTATAAGTCCCTACTCTTCAAGCTGATACCCAAAAACATGATTTCAAGAATTTAAAGCATAATTCTTTCATGTGCATATTTTTTACAAGGTTCATTCCCATTTCTTATCACAGGTATAATAGAGAGTAATTTAATAGTTTCACTTTGGATTCTATTTCTTTGTGCTGGGATCTTATTTTTCAGCATCTAGTTGATCAGCCTGCCCCCTGCTGAGCATCAAGATGGGGTGTCCTGACTTTTGTTTGACTGTAAAACCTCCATTCTTTGCCATGGTAATGAATAGCTGAAGGGGATCTATCAAGGCACTTAGTGCTATCATCTAATTCATTTTAATGTCTCCCATAATGTTCAGTGTTCTATATGAGACATTCATGCTTCATTATTTAAGAGTCTGGATGTAAGAATGGCACTTGATAGATTTAAATCAGGATAAAATAATTATATTTTTCATACTTGTATGGAACTTTACTCTCTTCAAAGTATGAAACATTCACTATAATTGGCTCTCACATGCTTATCTGCAGACATAAGAATGAAAAACAGTTGAAGAAAGCCTGCAGCATCTATAGAGACATGTAGGAAAATACGTATTTGTGTGTATTATCTGTGTTCTCCCTTCACTCTTACTCTGCTTCTGAAAAAGAAAATCAGTGCAATCTTGTCCACTGTGTCTCTAAGCAAGGATGGTATGAGGCAGGGCTGATGGTAAAGTGTGATGGGGATGAAGGCTCAAGTCTTAAACACACAGGAACGCATAGCAAGGGTCCTGTCCCAACTGGGCCCTTCTTGCTGTGCTACCTGGCCCCAGATTCTGAAAGAACCTGAAATCTGACTTTCCCTGTGGCTCTCTCTCCTCCTCTAACTTTCTCTTCCTCCTAGTTTATCTTTTGATTGTAATTCAAACTGGGTTCTAGAATGCTGAGGCACACTACTACTTCCAGGTACCCCTTGCTTGAAGAGCTCTCCTTCCAGTCTCTGCCTAGTGCCTTCAGGCTTGACTTACCCAGTAGGCAAAGTGGGCACAGTGCCTAGGCCCACAGCAATTTTGGAGCCCACAAAATGTTTTAATTTCTTTTAAAATCAGAAGGAAAAATAAATAGAATCTAATCTGGATTAAGTCCTTCTTTATACCAATGCAGTTGTAAAACAGAATTTTAAAGTTTTTTTGCCGGGCGCGGTGGCTCAAACCTGTAATCCCAGCACTTTGGGAGGCCGAGGCGGGTGGATCACGAGGTCAAGAGATCGAGACCATCCTGGTCAACATGGTGAAACCCCGTCTCTACTAAAAATACAAAAAATTAGCTGGGCATGGTGGTACGTGCCTGTAATCCCAGCTACTCAGGAGGTTGAAGCAGGAGAATTGCCTGAACCCAGGAGGCGGAGGTTGCGGTGAGCCGAGATCGCGCCATTGCACTCCAGCCTGGGTAACAAGAGTGAAACACCGTCTCAAAAAAAAAAAAAAAAATTTTTTTGATGGAGGAAGGGGCCCAAAAAGGCGAGAGTGTCTAGGGACCATGAAAGTCATAATGTAGCTCTGAGTGACTTTCCTGATGAAAACCAAGACCAAATGAGACCAACTGATCAATTACTTGGTGGAATAACCAAGATCTGTACAGTTAGCTTCAGGGCCTGGTAAATGCGCCAACTTCTTGCTCATTGGTGTTTCTCAAACACAGCTTAAGGCAAGGAATGAGGCATCGTGAAAAAATCCTAGCTGGATCTGAGAAGCCACAGAATGTCTTTATAGGTATGTTTTCTGGAGCCCAGAGGAGGGGCTCCATACACAGCTTAACAAAGGAGTCTAGCCTCATTACAAGGACAAATCTGGCCAGTGACTCTCTCTGCATTCCAGCTATAACCTGTATGACTTATGTCATACAAACCTACGTGCAACTGGACACCTTCTTTGCAATCCTTTGTTTAAGCATTAATTACCTTTAATAGCTCTGAAACCCTTCCCTGACTTTCTTTTAAAAAAATAGAAATTTGGCTGTGGACTGGAAGGCATTTGGGGAGATAAAACCTTTAAATGCCCCTGGGAGTCAGTAGGGAGGTGACTTTCATAGCTTTCTACATGGTACCTGAATAGATATGACGTATCATCCTGAAATGAACTGTTTATAACAATTCCACGGAATCTTTTACTTCCCACAAGTTATTGCCTATTTTGATCTTTCAGTGAAAGTTGCTGCTGGCAGCTATACATTTGGGATTGGCTGGATGGGTTCCACTTGCAGCCACTTAGGCAGACAGATCATGACTCTGTTTGCTAAGAGTATGGTCACCAGGCACGGGGGCTCATGCCTGTAATCCCAGCACTTTGGGAGGCTGAGGAGGGTGGATCATCAGGAGTTCGAGACCAGCCTGGCCAATATGGTGAAACCCCGTCTCTACTAAAAATAGAAAAATTAGCCGGGCATGGTGGCATGCTCCTGTAGTCCTAGCTACTCAGGAGGCTGAGGCTGAAGAGTCACTTGAACCCAGGTGGCAGAGGTTGTAGTGAGCCGAGATTGCACCACTGCACTCCATCCTGGGCTACAGAGGGAGACTCTGTCTCACAAAAAAAAAAAAAAAAAAAGAGTACAGTCTCCAGGCAGCAAACCTGGAAAGTTTTGCTTGTTTTTTCTTTATCCAGAAGAATAGCAGGCGTTTCTGGGCCCTCCATCTTTTCCCTGAATCCCAAAGAAAAAGCCTTGATTCTGCAATAAAAAGCCAAGGGTTTCCCAACTTCCAGAGGTTGTGAAGTGCTGACCTCCTTAGAAATCAGATGCCCTCCTTCAGAGCCTGGGAGCTCCTCATTGGAAGGTACCCTGTGTATAGAACCTGCTCTAGGCAGGTACAGATAGATGCCTCTCTCTCAGTCTGAAGCCATCCCAATGTCGGTGTGTCCCACTGCCAATCTGAGGTGTCAGGGAGGTGTTGGGAGACTGATTCTTTTAAACCAAATATAAGAGGAAACTTTCTATAAGTGAGTTATATTAAGTGGAGAACGATGGCTTGGGGCACAACCCTGGATTAGGATCTTCCCATAGGACCTACAGTATAATCCCAGGACTTCCTTTTTTACACATTTTAAGTGCTGATAGTTTTAAAAAGTGTAGCATTAGTAAAAAGAACGTTTCCTGCCCAGGTATGTGCCTGAGCCTGCCTACCCCAGCAGGATTCACCAGTGCGTTTATCTTCCAAAAGTCCTACTTAATGGAAGCACTGTCAAATAATGTGATTTTTAACTTCTCAGATATTTGGGCCACTTTACTAGAACTAAGAACGAGCAGATCATTCAAGCTCTCAATTCCAAAATTATACTAATTTCCACCCACAGTTCTGAGGGTTGCTTTGTGGTTGTTTTATAGCTAATGTTTTTTTGAAGATGTAAAAATGATCCCATGTCACTTTCCTAGGCAAGAAGGCACAATGTTAAATCATTTTTCTACTTTTATGTGTTTTTTCCTTTCCATTTTATTTAAATGATGTCACATTGATCTAAAACTATTCAGACACTGCTGCTGTCCAACACACACGCACACGTGCGCATACACACACAAAAACCACTGTTTGTGACAGTAAACCGTCATGTTAATAGCTTATCATCACATTTGGATTTAAACCATCACATTATCTTATTCTAATCACACATGAAACACTTTATTCTTGATATAACAAAGAGAATGAAGAAGCTAAGTGTTTTTCTCTCTATTTTTTGTTTTAGGAAAAAATGTTTCTATACTCTGCTAATGAATTGCAAGTATTTTTATAGCTTTTATTACTCCAATCTCTATACACTTTAAATTTTAAAACAAAGCAACAACAAAATTGCCAAAGTATTAGAAAACCATCCACTGGCTATTGACCTGTTAACACAGAAGGGCCCAGCAATTTGATGCCAGGAAAGCCAATGCCCTGGAATTGACTGTCTTGGAGGCTTTGTCTCTACAGCTCCCTGGAGATGGGTTTGCTGCTTGCTAAATTTGGCATCCTGGATTTTCAGGCACCAGCTTTGTGATTATGTTGGTTTGTTTACAGTTGTGTCCCGCCACCAACAATAATGGCAAATGAAACAATGTGAACAGACTTCTTTTTGTTTTTCATAATCTGAGAAGGTGGATAGTTCTTAGGTCTGGTCAGTTTCACCAATGTAAGGAGTTTTTTTCCTATTATTTTTTTGTTTTTTATTTTTGGGGACAAAGTCTTGCTCTGTAGCCCAGGATGGAGTACAGTGCCACAATCTCGGCTCATTGCAACCTCCACCTCCTGGATTTGAGGGATTCTCCTGCCTCAGCCTCCCAAGTAGCTGGGATTACAGGCACACACCACCATGCCCCCATGATTTTTGTAGTTTTAGTAGAAATGGGGTTTCACCATGTTGGCCAGGCTGGTGGCCTCAGGTGATCCACCAGCCTTGGCCTCCCAAAGTTCCTATTCTTTTATAAAAGAGAATCTGGCTCTCTTGCCCAGGCTGGAGTGCAGTGGTACCATCACCGCTCACTGCAGCCTTGACCTCCTGGGCTTAGGTGATCCTCCTGCCTCAGCCTCCTGAGAAGCTGGGACTATGGGTGTGCATTACCACGCTTGGCTAATTTTATATGTTTTGCAGAGTCAGGGTTTTGCCATGTTACCCAGGCTGGTAAGTTTCTATGCAAGTTTGAAGCAGGACTGTTTACTTCAATTGTTCCTGTGTAAACTCTGATCAGATTCATGTGGGTGTTTTGCAGGGCCTAAGAGTAAAGCAGGACCCCTCTGATTCTCTGGAGTACGTCTGTGTGGGGATAGACATCTGTCTTAGGTTAGCTCTGACAGATCTGTGCCTTAACTCTAAGAGGGCACATATGGAGGTAAGAAGAAACCATTCTACTTTTCAAATAAATACCTTTTAAAAATCTCGCTACATTTTACAGATATAACAAGTCCACTATTGGACTACTGATTAACTGCTTCTCAAAAGAAGGCATGTGCCAGAGGTTTTGCCTCCGCTTCAAAAAGTAAAGTGATAATTTGTCAGTTACCAGTTAATCTTGACCATTTAGGTATCTAAACTGGTAATTCTCATCTCAAAGTGAATTTTCTTTTTGGCAGGGGGAAACCCAAGTTGACCCATAAGAGTATATATACGGGAAACAATTTTTTTCTTTTTTCTTCCTCTAAGTTTGATCCTGGAAAATTCCTGGATTAATTAGATCATATTTCAAAGATCAGACTTGACTTTAGATTAGAGGTTAATTTAAGCATGGTAAAGAGCAATGTTTACCATGTCTAGCTTAATCAGAGCGGCCCAGTCAGCACAGGGGCTGCTTCTAGAAGGGCCCCTTACCTATACTTTAACTTCACCTCTGAGTTGTTCTCTTGTGTCCAGTGGAGAAAGAGAGACAGGGAAGAGGAGAGCAAGATAGTGAGAGAGGAAATTGAGATTGGGAGAGAAGGAATTTTAAGCCCATATCATATTCTAAATAAAACAACACAAGTCATTTTGCAATACTGAAAACAATACAGAATGATCTTGCCACTACAGCCCAGTATATTTTAACCAGCCTTCTCCTTTTCCCCACTTATTTCCTTTGAAAGACCTACCCTAAGCAGAATGCATACACGAAAGTCATCTTTTATAACCATTTAATCACATCAACAAGACTGCTAGAAACTACAGACCTTCATCTTCTATTTTCCAATAAACATTTAATTTCTAAATGACACATCTTAAATCAAACACTCAGAGAAAGGGAAAAAGGTCAGTCTTCCTGTTACTTACCTGGCTTGAGGTTTTGAAGAAATTAAAAACAACTTTGAATAAATCCCCCTTTCTTTCTTCCCCTGATGTTTTCTTCTAGAAATTTGCAGGGCTCACTTTTTTTTATCCAGACCCTGCCAAGGTGTGTTAAAGCTGAGTGATCTTTCAAAAATGTTCTCTTCTCTTTCTCTCCACCTTGTTTCTTTCAACTCTTTGCTTCCAAACAAGTCCTGACAAAGGTGTGTCATGGTTTACAGCGTTACTCCACCCTTCCAATTATCTGACACTTGCTGGATTTAAAAAAAAAAAAAAAAAAAAACCTGCCTCCGGGAATCAAACTTTACAGGACGCAGAAAACTTCTCCTTCCAGCTTAGGAAGGTTAACCATTTATAGGCCCATGGGGAAAAAGAAACAAAGGACCAACATAAAGGAAATTCCCTTTTATTGCCTACCTTCTACAGCTGGAGAACTGCCACAGCTTTGTGGCAGTACCCTTCCTCAGTGCCATGGGGACTGGAATCCCAGTGCATGATTCACGGGTAGTCTAGGCATATGGATGGCCTATGGTCAAAGTACCTGAACCCTAGAGAAACTGAAGGTGGCAGGATTTATATTCAAGATCTGTTTCCCCTATAGATGTCTTTGTCTTCTTTCCCCTCTTCTAACTCAAACCAGGTCAAGCCCATCTGGAGAAAATAGTTGGTGAACTAATTCATAATATGCTAATGACTGAAAGTACTGAGCAGTTGGTGGACCAGGGGTTCATTTTACAAAAAAGGTAACCAGATATAGTGATGTTGACCTAAAAGAGTGACATGTTAATGATGGAATTTTAGGCATTTGGCCACCTAATAATGGAGAGAAGTGCTGTTGGGGAGGGATAAGGACTTTTTTGCCCTTCAAATCAGGTGACCACATAGTGTCCATACACCTAAAGACATATGTGGCCTCCCAGATGTCCTGCAACTCCAAGTATATCTTGGGACCTTTAGATTTCCCTAGAGAGTCAACTTGCATCAGTCAGGATAATTCTTATGAATACCTGGATGGTATCTGGCTTTTTAGGGGCCCCAAAAACTAGCTTGAGACCCTTGTGTTGGTAAAATGGGAAGTCTGAACCTGGAACTCACTCAGGCAGTCCTTTGAGGCCATAGCACATTCCTGGGACCCAGCATCACATTGAGATTCCCAGTTCTGAGGTGTTATCCTACGATTCTGGAGAGGAGCTGTGGGACTCCTACAGCATAGCACTGACGTGCTACTGCTCCTTGCTATTATGGGCACTGCATCCCATGGAAGGACAGCAGACCACTGAGAACACCTGTGGGGCTCTTGCTCCCAAGCTGCCCATATTCTGCACTAGAGTCATGCATTTCAGAACATTTTCAATGATGCAGAATTTGACATTTGCTTTCTAGAATGTTCTTGCCTTCCCCAAATAAATACTCAACATGTCTTCTGTCAGTCTCATAGGAGAAGAACGTTGAAGAATCCAGAACACACAGAGCTTTCAGCATAAAATTGACATGGCCCTGCATCATTCATTCCTTCATTCATAAATTAAACAAAAAAGATATATTGGCTGCTGTTGGAGCCAGGCATTAAACTATGTGCTAAGTGTTTGATGGTGAAATATGGACATATTCCCTGTGCTTATGGAGTTCACAGTCTAATGGAGGAAGACAGGGCTTACAAAATATATTAGTCAGTGAGGGTTCCCATAACAAAATACCACAGACTGGGTGGCTTAAACCACAGAATTTTATTTTCTCATAGTTCTGTCAGCTGGAAGTTCATGATCAATATGTCAGGAGGTTTGATTTCTCTTGAGATCCCCTCTCCTTGGCTTGCAGACGGCCGCCTTCTTGCAGTGTCCTCACATGGCCTTTCTCTGTGCATGCACATCCCTGGTGTCTCTCTCTGTGTGTCCTAATCTCCTCTTCTTATAAGGACACTTGTCAGATTGAATTAGGGTCCACCCTGATGACCTCATTTTTACTTAAATTTAACTACTTCTTGAAAGAGCCCATCTTCAAATAAATTTACTGAGGTACTGGCGATGGTGGCTTCACATATGAATTTTGGAGGGATACAATTCAGTCCATAACAATTATGTACAATATATAATTAAGAATGTGATAACTATTATAAAGAAAGTGTACTGATTTGAGGCCAGGAGTTCAAGACCAGCCTGGGCAGCATAGCAAGACTCTGTCTCTAC